TAAAACATATCTATACCATACAGAGGGAAATCCACATCATCTCCCTACCCTAAAGAGCTAGGATACTGGGATGCTCAGGTAAATTGGCCACTTAGGTATTAACAAGCCTCCAAGTGCCCACATGATCTCCAAGTATCTTGGTGAGATCTACTTTTAAGATTCCCACCCAACAGGCAGTGAAGACTGCACACAGTGGGAAGGGCTATGACTCTACCAGGCCATAGATGCCCCACCTCAACCCATGGGCTCTTGGCAGAGTTCCCATCAAGGACAGGCCATAGTCCGCCTGTGAGCATCTCTAGGGCTCTGAGAAGACCCCATCCCTTCCAGGGGCCTTGACCTCTGCTATGGCATTGTCTTCACAGTAATCTGCTATAGCAATGCAAGCATACGAGTCATGGAAGGTTAGGACAGCCCCTTCAGGCATGGGAGCTCTCTGAGCCCTGGTATCTCTAGGTGAGCAGGAAATCAAGTTATTTTGGATTCTTGACCCTTCAGCAGCCAAAGAGGACAGCAGTTTGGTGAAATAGGATCTGGGGGATACTAGCCTCTTTGGTACTCAGATGCTTGCTTGTGACTCAGCATCAGAGGTTGACATGGGAACGGTGAGGCACATCTGGGATGCTTGCACCAGGAAGGTAGAAGCAGGAGGATTATGAACTCTGGGTCAGACTAGGATATAACAAGACCCCACATGATGGTTATCATTATTGTCAACTTGACATAGCCTGGAATCACTGGAGAAGAGATTGTCTACATTGGACTGACCTGTTGGGAACAGTTTAGTTGACTTATTTTATGTGAGAAGAACCAGCCTACTGTGGGCGGTACTATCCCCTAGTCAGTGAGTCCTGAACTATGGAAGAGTGGAGAAACAGAGTTGAGCACAGTAAGCCAGCAAGTGAACATGCACAAATTCATGTCTTTCTGCTCCTGCCTGGATGTGATATGACCAGCTGTCTAAAGTTCCTGCCTTCACTTCCCCACCTTCCTCACAATGATGGACCTGAAACTGTAAGCTACAATAAACCTATCTCCCCTAGATTGCTTTTTGTTAGGGAATTTTAATCAGAGGAACAGAAATTAAGACACCCTGTTTCAAAAGAAAAAAAAAAACATGATGATTCAGTCGGGTGCTGGTGGTGCACGCTTTTAATCCTAGCACTCGGGAGACAGAGGCAGATGGATCACTGTGAGTTCGAGGCTAGCCTGGTCTACAAGAGCTAGTTCCAGGACAGGAACCAAAACTATAGAGAAACCCTGTCTCTAAATAACCAAAAAAAAAAAAAAAAAAAAAAAAAAAAAAAAAAAAAAAAAACCACAAGATGATCACTTCATCCCCAAGGGAGTACCACATGCCCCCCACAGTCTGACCCCACCCCCTGGGGACAGATTCTTCCAGTGGTTCAGGGTGTCCAGTTCCCAACCCTTATGAACAGAAATAAAATGTACATGTGCGGTCCACCTGTCTCCTGGGAACTGGAAGCTGAGTGATAGTTGCATGCCAGTGGTTGTCAGGGACTATTCAAGGCCTTACTGGGGGCTGAGACTCTGTGATACCATGGCTACACTCCCTTCTCCCTGTTCTGCCCTTGCTATCTGATTAGGGAAAACAAAAACACATCACATAGAGGTAAATGCACCAGGATAGCATGGTGGGGCATTAGTTGTCAATGGAACTTGATGTGGGAGTGTCATATATCAATCTGTTGATTTCATTGGTTAAGTTATAATAAACCAGCTGCTTGGCCTCATGGCTTGGAACATAGATGGGAGGAGTAAACAGAATAGAATTCTGGGCGGAAGAGGAAGTGAGGTCAGACTCTGCTCTGCTCCCGGAGAGACCGGACAGCTCTGCTCTCTGGAGCAGAGACACCATGATGGATGGAGGCTAGACTCTTCTCAGTACGCGCACCTTGGGGTGCTTACACACATCATTAGAAATGGGCTAGTCCAGGTGCAAGAATTAGCCTGTAAGGGCTAGAGTTCATGGGCCAAGCAGTTCTTTAAATGAATACAGTTTGTGTGTTGTTATTTCGGGCATGAGCTAGCCAAGCGGCCGGGGTGTTGGGGACGCAGCCCCGCCGCGGCTCTTATTTCAACAGGAACTTATCCCATCCCATTCATTCCTAGGGGTGGGAGCAGCAGAGCCAGTGCATGGACCAGGAAGCTTCCAGGGAGCCAAGTAACTCTTCTTTACAGCACTGGTACCCTCTGTCCCCCGCCCCTCTGCAGCCCGTCCTCCTGCCTGTTTGAAAACCTTCTCTTTTGCCCCTTCCCATATGCACCCTTGCTTAGCACAACTGATGGCAGCCCTCATTGAGAACGTGGCCCTGTGCCCTCACCCTCTAGCCCCTTCCTCACCTCTGCCTCCCAGCTTCCTCCTCCCTCACCTCTGCCTCCCAGCTTCCTCCTCCCTCACCTCTGCCTCCCAGCTTCCCCCTCCCTTACCTCTGCCTCCCAGCTTCTTATTCCTCTGCTCACTCCTATCCAGGCAACACCTTCCTGCTCTGTGCATCTGATCTGCACAGGGGCTATCCACTGTGCCCAGGATCTGCACAGGGACTATCTACTGTGCCCAGTCGTACTCTGTCTTCTGTCCTCTATTCGGATGCCTTCTCCACATTGGACTCCAGTGCCAGATACATATTTCTACCCTCACTAGAGAAGTCTGGGAAATGTGGGACTACCCACTGAACATTCCTGGACATACCCCCAAGCTCCTGAACTTACATGCAATGACCATGCTGGGACCACTGCTCTCTATGGACTCTCAGTTCTGAGCCTTGCACCCATATCCTTCCCATACACCTTCTCATACACCAGAGGGGACACCGACAGTCCCCTGGGCATAGGTGGATCTCACTAGAACCCCTCCTCCTAATCATTATGGTATTCAGCGAGGCAAAATTAGCCCGTGATTAGTATCCCCCGCCCTGTGCAGCATGAAGGAAATGCAAAGCAAATATCCATATGCATGAGATACACAAATAAAATGTGTAAGCAAATATCCATATGTATAAGAATGAAACACACAGGCAAATGAGATGCTCGGTGGCCACAGCCAACATGATGCTCTGACCACAGCCCAGCTGCAGCACACCTGGCACGGGCTGGCACATGCTGGCACAGGCTGGCACACGCTTCAGTGTTCACTCTTTGTCCCACCAGAGCAGAGAAGTACTGATTAGTTATCACATATCCAGATGTGTGGTTCAAAGAAATTCCAGGTTTGGTGTAGGTGACCAGTCCAGGGACAGCGTAGCCATTCCAAAATTATCAGAGCCCCGGGTTCTTTGAACATGTGGCACTGCCCTTTCCACCCCATGGTTTATGGTTTGGAGCACAAAGTGGCTGCTTGAAGTCCAGCCATAGCATCAGCATGCCAAGCAGCCAGGGCAAGGGAAAGAGAGACACAGTCTTTCTCACTCTCAGGATGTGACTGACTTTGTCAGAGGTAAAGAACGGTGCTTATCAGTGGCAAAGGGATTGATCTATCAGAACGAAGTCACAGCTCCAAATCCATCTGTGCTCCACACCATCTCTGAGAAATATACGGCCTGAAAATAAGGAGAGTTAGGGGGCTGGAGAGATGGCTCAGTGGTTAAGAGCATTGCCTGCTCTTCCAAAGGTTCTGAGTTCAATTCCCGGCAACCACATGGTGGCTCACAACCATCTGTAATGAGGTCTGGTGCCCTCTTCTGGCCTGCGGACATGCACATGGACAGAATATTGTATACATAATAAATAAAAATATAAAAAAAGCAGACCTCACATCAGTGCAGGAGTCCGCTGAAAACCTCCAGGAAACAATGAAACAAGCGGGCCCAGAATCGGAACAAGTTGACCTCATTGACCTCTAGAAATTGGTCCCCATTCTTTCCAAGTAGAAGGGAAGCCCCTCCCCCACAGAAAACACCTTCAAGAAACCATTTTGCCCCTGCTGCTCACACATTGTTTGCCTGCCAGCTGGGATGGAGCAGCACCACTCCAGTGGCCAAGTTGCCAGCTAAAACAGAAAGGTTCTCTTCCAAGAGAACAGAGTGAGTGTATCTCCCTGCTGTCTTCTGGCCAAGCCTCCTCACTTGGTGATGTTGCACAGAGAGGTTAAGTAACCTGTCACAACCCAGGCGCAGAAACAACCTGCTGAGGTGTGTACTTACTGAGAAGCAAAGAGGGCCAATGCTCAGCAGGCCTTCTGGAGCCCCACTGACTTCACAGTTCCTGGGGTCATCCATCCAGGGGTCAGAACAAGGCAAGGTGGCGTTGAGCCAGAGATGGGGCATTTGGGGGAATGGAATAGGACTGTCATTTACTGAGCACACACTACGTGCAAAGCCTTTTTAGACCCTGGACGAGGAGGCTCTCACCGATCTTCCTGAGGGTCCTGCAGCGGAGCATCATCTCTGCCCCTACAGATGAGGCCTCAGGGTGGGAGGGCGTGGGCTTGCCCACAGCACACAGTGAGGACTTGAAGCTAGCAGTCGGCATACAGAGCCCCCCAACTTTTGGCAGAGTCACTAGCCAACTGGACCTGCTTCCTCTCTTGGGAGCTGGGGAGTTGGGAACAGGTGAGGTGGCCTATGCAAACATCAAGGTTCCTTCCAGACAGATACCTGTGCACAGAGACCCATGCAGAGATTCTGCTCAGAGCTGCAGCTCTGCCAAGTGTGTGGGCATGCACGAGCAAGTGTGAGCATGTGTGCAAGCATGTGACAAGAAAATATGTCCTGCAATGGTAGTAAGACGTGGAGAGACAAAGGACTCTGAACACTGTGTCATATAACAAAACTGAGATCCAAATGTCTAGAAAATTCCACCCGGATCCCCCTTCCATAGGTTGTAGTCTTCATCTGGGGTCCACGCTACACATGTACACCCAGGGCCTCAGTCTCAAACCCACTGGGAAGCACTGAATGGTGAAGTCATTGTGGGTGCTGGGGCGGGAACATCAGGGATCCCTGTTGTGTCCCTACCCAGCATGCTCGTGTCCTCCACAGGCCCAGCTGCCATGGCACACTGCAAGACGGAGCAGGAGGACTGGCTGTTGGCCCACCTGAAGTACCTGCTCTTCATCTTCAACTTCTTCTTCTGGGTAAGTGGAAGCTGTGGCACACCCCTCCCCACACCTGCACTCTGGCCGCACTCACTTTGGAGTCTCTGTACCAAGGTTGGCTTTTCCCAAGTCAGAAACCCGTCCTGCCCTGCTCTCAGAGTGAGCCCTGCCTGGCTGTGATGGCTGCAGCTTTCATGGAGTCTGTCAGAGCATACCTAGGCCAAACTGTGTGTGCAACCTCATCCATCGTCCCTGTCTCCAGAACACCATGTCCGTGCCATCCTGACTGCTGAAATGATGTCCCCTTCCCACTGAAATCGACTGGCCTTGCTGGCCATGGTCTCAGAGCTGCACTGTGACAGGGACCTGTGGCATCTGACACAGGTTTCCCACAGCGGTGTGGCCTCTGTCTCCCAGTGGGGATTACCTATTTAATTAGGAACACAATGCCATCGATCCCGAGAGGGCCTGGAGAGAGGCTGCATTTTACTCTGATTCGTTTGTTAAGATGGTATCTCACTGTGCAGTCCAGGACGGATTTGAACTGGTGATCCTCATGCCTCAGTCTCCCAGCTGCGGGTCTTACAGGGGCTCACCATCACATCCGGTGTTTGTTGACTGTGTGTTTTGTTTTGTGGCCTCACTGGCTGTGGGAAAGACTAAGAGGGAAGGTTTGCTGTTGACAGGGACCCTGGCATCGGTGGATGCTGTGGCATTTCTGAGTCTGTTTCCCTAGCTGGAGTTGGGAGATTAACTCTAGCCTCTCAACCTGAAAAAGCACCCCGGAATCAACATCTCAGCAGGGCTGGGCTCCAGGTACCAGAAAAACAAAACAAAACCTACTCCCCAGCCCCATCTCAGAAACACAGGGAGACCATAGGGCCACAGTGGTTCCAAGCTCAGAGTGGTTTCAAAGCATCAGGAGAACTGGCCACATCAAATACTATCTGTTAAAATAAAGGACACAGTGTTTGCTTAAATACATTTCGTAAAGTTTCTGGGAACAAAAACTAAAATGACTTTGGCTTTGATCTTCCCAGGAAAGAGTTTTCTGGAACAGGGAGGCCCAGGGGTACAGCTCCTGGAAAATTACGCTGTGCCCTAGGATGGAGGACTGGGCTACATGTAGAGATCTGACCACAGATAAATCAGTTAGGGCACTTAGAGTTCCTGCAAAGCAAGGAACCTCACTCCCCCCTCCCCCTTTCTTCCTTTTTTGGATATTTTTTTTAAGGACACCAGATCTTATTACAGATGGTTGTGAGGCACCATGTGGTTGCTGGGAACTGAACTCAGGACCTCTGGAAGAGCAGCCAGTGCTCTATTCCTCTGAGCCATCTCTCCAGCCTTTTTTTTTTTTTTTTTTTTTTTTTGATATTTTAAGGTTTGTTGTTGTTGTTTTGTTTTGTGACAGGGTCTCATCCTGTAACCCAGGCTGTCCTCAGACACGTTGTGACAAACCTCTTAGCTTTAGCTGGGATGGCAGGCATGTGCCACCATGCCTGGGTCAAAGTTTTCTTTGTAAGACCTTTTTTCCTGACCATAAAGGTCTCCTGTGTCCACTCCAGATAATCTCCAAAAGTCAGACAAGCATAAAAACATTAATGACAGACGTCTGATTATCTTGGTCTCCTAGGGTGACAGGACAAAGCGTCACAGTCTGCAGTTGGGGTGGCGTTAAACAGCAGGAATTGTGTTTACTCGCTGTTCTAGGCCTAGAAGTCTGTGATCCAGCGCAATGCTCAGGTCCCTCACTGTTCTAGGCCTAGAAGTCTGTGATGCCGCAGGATTCTCAGGTCCCTCAAACTGAATTTACCAGGGAGGGAATGTTCAGAGCATAAACTCCTTCTCCACAGAAAAGGTTCCTTCCTATTTGAGACACTCCGAAGTCTAATTTTTGTGACTTACCTGAACCCCAGTCATAAGACAAGGCAGTGTCTGCACGCCTCCCACCCTGGGGTCACCACAATTTCTGCCTTCCTGAAGGAATTATAAGACAGGGCAATGGGCAAGGGGCTATATTTGAACACCCTTTCAGCCTGCTGCCCCTTTAGCCTCCAAACACAGAAGCTGGCACAGAGCAGGGCCCAGCCATTCAGGCTAGGAGTGCAATAAAACAAACTCCCTCTTTCATGAATGCCAAGTGTCTCTTGAGTGTAGATCTACATTGCAGGGTTCTGCCAAAGCCAACCTGAAGCAAAGAGCCCAGGATGCCATCCTGGTGATCATAAGAGCCAGCCCTGAAAGATTCTGCATAGATCACCCCAGTGCCCTTCCATTCAACTGTAGTAGTCAGTGTTACTAGTGTCCTTATTGTGTAATGGGGACCTGGCTCACCAAGCCAGTCACTGACAGTCGTCTTAGTTATTTTATTGCTGCGAAGAGACAATGTGACCAAAGCAACTTATAGAAGAAAGAGTTTATTTGGGACTTATAGTTTCAGAGGGTGAGTCCATGACCAACACAGTAGAGAATAAGACTGCAGGCAAGCAGGCATAGTTCTAGAGCAGGAGCTGAGTGCTTACATCCTGATTCATACACAGGAAGCAGAAAGAGCTAACTGGGAATGGGTGGGCTTTTGAAACCTCAAAACCCACCCCCAGTGACACATCTCTTCCAACAAGGCCACACCTCCTAATCCTTCCTAAATAGTTGCACCAACTAAATCGTTCAAACATGCGAGCCAATGGGATACTTTCTCATTCAAGCTTCCCACAACAATCAAGCTTCTAGGCAGATCACTTACTCTCGTGTTGTTGTTACGTACATGGAAGGGGGATGCCTGAACAGTAAGAATTAGAACTTGCCGTTATGGAAATGTCTTGCATGGTTGAGGGTCTGTACCGATGCCCTGCTGGGATGGGATGAGCTGGCAGCGATCACCATCTCTTCAGCAGCTTCCTCCCCATTCCTAGCACTGGGCTTAGAGCTTGTGGCATCGTGACCTGGGTAGAAAACAAGGGATGTAATGTTGTTTTTGAAGAGAATCTTGCCTGCACGGGGTGTGATGCCCCCTGAGACTTTGTTCTTTGTGAATAGCTCTCTCCTTAGCACGTGCAGACCACAGTCCTGAGTGCCCACATCCCACAGAGCCCACTCTACGCACCCCAGCAGGACTCGGGCACTGCCCTTCCGTCACCCTGCCCCTGAGGCCTCCTGGGATGAGTCTAGTCAGGGATCACTGATGCCACCATTGACATACCTCCTGGGTGACCCTGAACAGCACACATGCCCAGCTTTCCTGCATGGCTGGCAAAGGAAAGCTGCACTTTTCTCTTCGTCCTCCCTTCCCCCTCTGGCGCCCCTCCCCCCGCTTCCTCACGCAGCTCCTGTTACCCCTTTATTGTTCTCTAATTTATTATTTTAATTAGCTGCTTGGCTGTGTTAATAATCAAACTGTTCCCAATCTCCCAGAAGCTCTGCCAGGCTATGGGAGGAGCCTGGGAACGCTGCCTCATCTCACAGCCTGTCCTGCCTTGAGGGTCCACCTGGGCTTTGGTGCTACCAATGGGAACCTCTTTAAAGGAACACAGGTGACTGAGGAGATGCCCAAGTGGGTAAGAACACTTGCTGTGTAACCACGAGGACCTGAGTTTAAAAACACAGCGCTTATGTACAAAGCTAGTCAGAGAGGCAGGCTGGAAACAAGAGACTCACAGAGCTTGCTTGCTGCAGGCTAGCTCCAGGTTCAATGTGAGATCCCATCACGTGGGTAGAAGGGAGGGGTGGGACATCCGGAGCCCTCCTGTGGCCTTCAAGTGGGCATGCGCACCTTCACACACACACACACACACACACACAGACAGAGACAGAGAGACAGAGACAGAAAGACAGACTCAGGGCTGAGAAGAGGAGCTGAAGTAACATAGGAGACTTGAGCGCCACCTTCAGGGAAGGTTGGAGAACATCCCCTCAGCAGACCCTCACTTGAGATCTAACCACTTACTCCTGCCCAGCTCCACGTGGCCTCAGGTTCTGGAGTCCAGGACGGTGGAAAGCTTACTGAAGGGGGCTTCACCTAGGCAGCATTGGGGAAGCCATCTCCTGCACACGGGCAGGACTTTTCAGAGAAGCAGCTGTTTGAGGGTATTGCAGGATTTGCCTCTTGGGTCTGGTGTCAAGGCCCTATTTTGGGTGAGTTTGTTCACAACTCACAATACGGCATCATCCAATGGGACAGTAAAATTCTTGGTGTGGTCTCTCTAGTTGTGTGAGCACAGAAATGTCGCTTCTGTTTGGGCCAAATTCCTCCCTCTAGAATATGAAATTTCCCTTTTATTTTCCCTTTCTCCATCCCTCCCTCCCTCCCTTCTTCCCTCCCTCCATTCCTGTCTTACTTTCTTTCTCTTTTCCTTCCTCCCTCCTTTCTTCTCTTCCTTCTCTAACAGCATCCACCCTCACTCTAAATCTCCCTGGGATACCGGGGAAGATGACGATGAATCAAGAGGCTAAAGGGGAGCTATTCAGTGTAGTGAGTGAAGAACCCTCCTGTGAGGACCGTAACTATAGAAACACGCACGAGGCTTGCTGTTGATGGGCGGGGGGGGGGGGGGGGGGGGGGGGGGGGGGGGGGGGGGGATGAACGATTTGCTGGTGTTGGGTACGGCTGACTCCAAACCAGGTTTCTTCCGGCTTCTTTGGAAGGTGAGGCGGTTTGTGACCCTGCAGCTCCAACCCTCTGTGTACTGTGAGAGTTTGCACTCAAGGGGCAGATGCGGCTCAAGATGAGAGGCTCAGCAAGACATTCATTCATTTCTTCATATTTAAAACCACGCAGCTGTGAGGAGCTGCAGGTAGGAAGCCACCCTGGGCCTGCATGAAACAAGCCCATCTTTACAAAGTCGCTCCCGCAGAACTGGTCCAGAGCCAACAAACAGCCAATAGGACCTGCACCTGGGGCAGAGCTAGGAGAGGAGCCTACCTGGTGTTTGAGAAGTGTCTGCCCCTCTACAACTAGGAGGCTCCAAGCTCAAGCGGTCCTGGAGTACCACTGACTTCCTGTGTGCCCTGGGTTCAACCAGTGCTGTAAGAACTGTTCT